TACAAAGATTTGGGGGCTTTTGGCTATCCAGATGATTTAGAAGAATAGTGCCAGAGACTCTTCTGAAACCTCTGCACATTTTTGTTCTTGTTGATTTGTTTCAATTAGTTTTGATAATGCACTACTTGTTTAAAAAAAACAAAAAAAAACTAAGAATTTCTAAAGTGACAAACTTTCAGAGTACAATGAAAGCAGTATGTGTAATGGTTAAGTGACAGACTTGGGTTTCTCCAAGTCTGCCTTGAAGTTTGTTTAATCCTTCTAAGCCCAAGTCTCCCCATCTGTAACACGGGGACTACATGTCAGTGGGCGTCTCCCCATCTGTGACACAGGGACTACTGCCTCCCAAGACTAAATGTCAGTAGGTATAAAACAGTAGATGCCTGGGGCGCCTGGGTGGCTCAGTCGGTTGGGCATCTGCCTTCGGCTCAGGTCATGATCCTGGAGTCCCAGGATCGAATCCCACGTCAGACTTCCTGCTCAGCGGGAAGTCTGCCTCTCCCTCTCCATTTGCCTCTACCCCTGTTCATGCTCTCTCTCGCTCTATCTAAAAACAAAACAAAACGAAACGAAAAAAACCAGTAGATGCCTGGTTCATAGTAAGTCCTCAGATTTTTAAGAAATTAAGTATTTTCCTACACATAGGTTTAGCTTTCTGGTGGGTCTTAACACCAGAAGTCAAGTATTGGTAAACACAAAAACTTGGGTGAAGGTTCTGGTAAGGGCCAGAACAAACCAGTGTCTCTCTTTGGCCGTGTCACAGGGAACTGGCCACTCACTCATGCTAACCTGACTGTTGTTGAAACTGCCTCTGGCATACACTCGAGGGGGTGTTTCAGAATCCCCAGCTCTCTGTTAGGTCTGTTCCAAGAGCACAGATTAGCCTCAAGTAAATCCAGCAGGTTTCTTCCAGAACTTATTCAGGAGATGACATGGGGCATACCCACAGTGTGTTTGTCCTATGAGGGTCCTTCCAGCTAGCAGAGTCTTTGAACCACAGAATGCATTTCTCCATCTGTAAAAATGGAAATATCTTCCTTTTACAATGACGAGAACTTGAGTCCTGTTAGCTACAAGTAGGTCCAGCAACTGAGGTACCTTAATCAAAGGAAGGGAAAAAGGAAAGGCTTTACTTAAATGAAAATAGCATGTATTGCTCTCTCATGAAACCTACTGGAATGCAGAATTTAAAGCCTTTGTGACTGTCTGTCTCCCATGCCTGATACGCCTTTGCTAAATTCTCTCTTCCCTCTGAGACCAGCTTCCTCTGGTCCTCCAGTCCACATGCCAGAAACAGGGCTGCCAGCTCACTCAAGAGGCAGTGAGTCTTCCTGCCTTCCGCTCCTTGTTCCAGCTGCGTCAGACGCAGACCCCTAGACTGGCTGGGAGGAGGAAGGTTGCAGTGTGTGCATCAGGCTCCCGGAAGCCAATTCCTACAGCCGTGTGTAGAAGGCAGCAGTGAGGTGCAGAGGCAGGGCTGGGCAGACAAGTCCACCAGATCTACCAGACTGGAGAGGGTCCCAGACTTAGGCCACATAGCAGGTCACCTGTGAGCTTTGGCGATATTTATCCTGTCGGGTGTTCTCAGAATTTCCTGGATCAGTGGTTTGATATCTTTCATTATTTTGGATAGTCTTGCCCTACCCCACTAGTTGGAACAGGGGAGCTCCCCACTGCTCTGGCCTGTACTGGGTTTCAGGGCTACTGCCCTTTCAAGTGACCTTGCCGTCTCCTTGTACTTGTGTCTTTGGTGGGTCTTAATGCAGGAGTGAGTCTGCACACCTGCCTCTAGTAATTCAGGATCTCTAACAGGGCCTGGGATGGTATCCTACTCTCCCCAGACATAGAGGGTATTTTCTTCTCCTCTCCCCATCTGCAATGAACCTTCACCTATGTGTCACTTTTCCCCAGTGGCTTCTCTTCCTTACCATGGAAGGTGGAGTTTGGGTCTTTCCAGCAGCAGCTGCTCCCTTCCTGACCTCACCCCTGCGAGAAGTGTTTTCCCTAGTCTCTGTAGCCGTGCTCAGCCCACCCAGTGGGTTGCAGATGCCCTGTGTCTGGATTTCAAAGGGCTTTCTCTGTCTCACCTGCACCTGGTCTTTAGCAATTAGGATTCAACTGGAACCTCTCAATTGCCCTGCGGTGGCCTTAGCCACTCTCGGAGCTGCCTCTAAGGGAGGGTTTCAGGCTGGTGGCCCTGTCACCTCAGCTCTTCTTGTGCATTTCTGATGCGCTTTCCAGTTTTCTACATCCCAGGTGGAAGCTGGAAGTCCCAGGAGTTTCTTGGCCTTTACCACCAGTGAAAAGTGACTAATTGAAAAACTCTGGAGAAGGATGGGAGCCACCGGTCTGTATTTTTAGCAGACTTCCCATGTGATTCATGGTCTGTACTGTACAATTTAATGCACCTAGAACACCTGACATAGAGTAAGTGCCGAAATAAACAGTTGAACTATACGTTTCACTACATCCATCAGACTATGCGTTCATGGAAAAGCAGAGAGGAGAAAGGCATGTCTGTGGTTTTCATGAAATACACAGATTCATTTGTGTTGTTCCATGAAAATGTAACTACACTATTGATTGCATTTCTCCTAGGAGAGCTGCAGCGGCCCAGAGAGGGGGTTGGGAAATGTCTGTCTCTTCAGTTTCTCCCAGAGATCTCAGTAGTCCCAGTGCAGTGGTTGGGCTGGTGACAAGGGACTCTAATTTCATTTGCTTTTCCCAAGCACTGCCTTGCTTCCAGCCCTCTTGTGGCTTCCCCCTTTATATGCTCACTTTCCAAACCTCTCACACTCACTCATTCTCACATGTGCTCACACTCACATGCTCATTTTCTTGCACTCGTCCTCACACATGCTCTCACACTCACACACTGGTTCACACACAAGTTCTCTCTCCCCTTTCTCATCCCCCCATGGCTCTGGACTTTTCCTGTCCCTTCCTCCCCTTGCTCAAGGACAGGCCAGCTCCTCTTTCCAGGGCCTCCAATGGGTCCCTTCCCTGGGGGCTTCTTTCTTGCATTCACATCTCTTCTCAAACCCAGCTAAATCCTGTTCCTGCCTCCCTGGTGTTTGGTTTCTCTGAACTTGGGTAGCATTTAAATGTATCTCCTCATTTTGACAAGGGTCATGAGAGTAAGCCCTCTGTCACCTGACACTTGATCATCTCTAGTTAAAGTCCCTTCCGGTGGACCCACCTTTGACAGGACCTCTCATTCACCTTTGAGTGTTTCCCGAGCTTTCTGATTCAACAAGATGCCCCAGGCTCATCTTAACACTTCTTGCCCCAGTCCTGGAATCAGCTGCTTCTTCACAATCCCTTGGAAGATGTATTTAGAGGTCATGATCAGGGTGCTGGCCGCTGCTGGTTGCCCCAGACTGCGATTGCTTCTACACCTGTTCTTGGGAAGGGTGGGTACGAGGGCACCAGTAGGAGTTTGTACTGATATTTGCAATAAATTTGTATTTCACTTCTCTTACTCTGAAAAAACTTAGTCTTTCAGGACTTCTTAAAAATTTTTTTCAGGGCGCCTGGGTGGCTCAGTCGGTTAAGCAACTGCCTTCGGCTCAGGTCATGATCCCGGAGTCCCGGGATCGAGTCCCGCATCGGGTTCCCTGCTCAGCGGGGGGTCTGCTTCTCCCTCTGACCCTCCCCCCTCTCGTGCTCTCTGTCTCTCATTCTCTCTCTCTCTCTCAAATAAATAAAATCTTTAAAAAAAAAATTTTTTTTTTCCAGCTTTGGTCTATCCAAAAGAATCTTGACTCTTCTAGCTTGTGTTTGTTTATAACTCTACACTTCCCAAAGGGATTTGAGCAGTTTTATTACTGCAACTATATGGGTAATTGAGATCATGCAATTTCAGTTAGCATTTCTTCTACAAATATAAAGCACAAGTAATTTTATTATGTGCAATATGCACTCTGATAAGAAAGCAGTTTTTCTAATCAAGCTTTTTTTTTTTTTACCCGTCTACATCCACTAAATGGAATCTTATCTTAGCCAACTATGTAGGAATTATTCTAAGTAAATACCCAAATACCCACTAGAAAATTGAGCAAATAAAATACAAATGTTGACTGAGTGGATAGAACATGTTCCACTGATATCAGGAAAATGTAAATTGAAGCAGGGATAAAGTACCATTTTTAAACTACCAAATGAACTGATTTTTAATATCTGTTTTTGGGGAGAGTATAAAGGACATTTTATACATTTAGGGTAGGAATATATATATAAATCAGTACAGGATCTTATTTTTGGGGCAATTGGGTAGCATCTGTGAACATAAAAAATAAACATATAAGGGGCGCCTGGCTGGCTCATTTGGTGCAGCATGTGACTCTTGATCTCAGAACTGTGAGTTCGAGCCCCATGTTGGGTGTAGAGATTACTTTCAAAAAATAAAAATCTTTAAGGGCACCTGGGTGGCTCAATCAGTTAAACATCTGACTCTTGATTTTGGATCAGGTCATGATCTCAGGGTTGTGGGATTGGATTGAGCCCCACCTTGGGCTCTTCCCACATTGGGCTTTCGGATCAGCACAGAGTCTGCTTGAGATTCATTCTCTCCCTCTCCCTCTCCCTCTGCCCCTCCCCCCGCACATGCAGAGGTGTGCACTCTCTCTCAAATAGATGAATAAAATCTTTAAAAAATATAATAAAAATCT